ATCTGATATGTCATTTGTAAATATCTTCTCCCATTCTGTCAGTTTTCTTTTGGTTTGGTTGACTGCCAAAGGAATTTTTATACGTAAAACCAGAGTTACAGAATCCTAGAGGTCTGGCTGATGTTAAGCTAAGGTTGCCTTTTGCCTCTAGCAAAGTATTAACGACAAGGCAGTTGAGTTCCTAGAGGAAGGTCACTCTGCCTGTCTCAAGGACTTGTCTGTCAGTGGGCTGCAAGTAGTAAGGAAATTGAATTCTTTTTGTTTAGCCTTTGTAACCTACATCACTACCACATGACCCAACTATTTTATTCCAAGTGTACCCAAGAGAAGTGAACACATCTGTCCACGCAGTGGACACTCTGTCCATGCAGAGACATTTCTGGCTGTGTTCATGACAGCATTTTTCATAAATGCCTAAAAGTTCAACTTCAGTGACTATTAACCGATGAACGGATGGACAAAAATGTGGTATATCGCATGATGGAACATTATTCAGCCACAAAAAAGGAATGAAGGATTGATTAATGCCACAGCATGAATGAACTTCAAAAATATTCTGCTAAGCAAAACAAACCAGTCGCAAAGCCAAGCCACGTGTCATATGATGCCATCTATATGCAATTTCTAGAAAAGTCACATTTTAAGAATTCATTTATGTATGTATTTATTTGTTTATGGAAAGAATGATCTTTTTTTTTTTTTTTTAAGATTTTACTTATTTGACAGAGGGACAGCGAGAGAGGGAACACAAGCACGGGGAGTGGGAGAGGAAGAAGCAGGCTTCCCACCAAGCGGGGAGCCCAATGCTGGGCTTGATCCCAGGACCCTGGGATCATGAACTAAGCCAAAGGCAGCCGCTTAGCGACTGAGCCACCCAGATGCCCCAAAAGTCACATTTGTAGAGATAGGAAGTAGATTAGTGGTGGCCTGGGGCTGGGGCTCAGTTCAGAGATTAATTGTAAATGTGCATGAAGGGTCTTACTGGGAAGATGAAAATGTTCCAGAACTTATTTATGGTGATGATTTCATCACTTGTTAAGGTTACTTAAAATCATCAAATTCTATACTTGTAATGGGTGAATTTTTTGATATAAAATATACCTCAATAGAGCTATTAAAAAGGGGTGTTAGAGATGACAAGGAGAAGATGGGTACAGCTGTTCCCCAAATAGGTGCCCAACTGCCAGAGGCTTGGGAGAACTTCCAAAAGGCCTCTGGGAGCCCATGGAAGCTCTGGGGCTCCCCTATCCTGAGAGAAAGAAGGACGCCATCACTGAATGCCTTCGGATTGCTCCTATCCAAGGGCTGCCTCTCTGTAATGTGGCTTTGCCCTTCCTCCTATCCAGACATGGAGTAGGTTCTTCATCTTCTTGACTCTTGGCTGGCCCTCGTGACTTGCTCTGGTCAATGGATACGGCAGAAGTGACACGGCACCATTTCAAAGCCAAGGTCTCAAGAGGCTTTGTAGTTTACACCTTTGCTTTCTTGGACCCCTGCCCTGAGAATGTCTTCTGAGGGAGCTAGTCCAGCCTGATGGAGCAGGAGAGGTGACATGGTGGGGGAGGGAGAATTGAAGGGGTCCCTAGCCAAGGTCACCAACTGTGAGACACATGAGGACATCTTGGACCTTCCCGCCCTATTGATACAGAATGATACACCCCCGGGCCCCGCCAATGAATATTCACCCAGCAGATCCATGGAACTGTAAAAAACAAAGTGGCTGTTGTTTTATGCCGTTAGTTTTGGGATGCTTTGTTACGCAGCAATAGGCAACCAGAACACATACCCTTTATTCTATGCCTTGACTTTGCCTGTCCTGAAGCCATCTTGGTTGAGGTGAGGTTGTGGACCCACCTCTTACACCAGAATACCATGTGGCACACCTTTTTCCTCACTCCTTCCTGTGACCTCTGGGGACACCATTTCTCTCAGGGCAGTGGTTCTAAACCTTGGCTGTGCGACAGAATCTTGGTGGAGGTAACTTTGAAAAATATGGGTTCTGTTCCAGTCATTTATTGTACAACAAATCATCCTGAACCTTAGTGGCTTAAGACAACAGTAATTTACTTTGGTCATAAATCTGCAGTTTGGGGATGGCTTGGTGCTAAGAGCTGGTTTCTGCTACACACAGTATCAGCGGGGGCGGCTCAAAGGCTGGGAGCTGGGATTATCTGAAGCTTGGCACACTGGTGTGTCTGGTGGTTGAGGCCGGGGGTCAGTTGGGAACTGCTGGCAAGAGTATCTACATGTGGACTTAACATGTAGCTGCTTGGGCTTTCTCATAACATAGTGGCTGAATCCTCCCCCCCCAATATTTTTATTTATTTATTTGACAGAGAGCGACAGAGAGAGAGGGAACACAACCAGAGGGAGAGGGAGAGGGAGAAGCAGGCTTCCCACTGAGCAGGGAGCCCGATGCAGGGGCTCGATCCCAGGACTCTGGGATCTGGGATCTGAGCTGGGATCTGGGATCTGAGCTGAAGGCAGATGCTTAACAACTGAGCCACCCAGGCACCCCACATAGTGGCTGAATTCTTAGAATGAGGTCCCCAAAAGAACAAGGCACATGGGACAAGTTACATGGAGTTTGTACGAGCTGGTCTCAGAAGTCATGGTGTCACTTCTGCCGTACTATATTGTCTGAGATGATCACAGACGTCTCTCTGGGTTCAAGGGGGAAGAGCCTAGACCCATTACTGGATGGGAGGAGTGCCAACATCACTCTGTAAGAAGAACTTGTGGGAGGAAATCTATTGAGGTGGTTAGCTTTGGAAAATACAATCTGTTCCTGGAGAATCAGTGCTGAAGGTCTGGAGTGAAGCCTCAGGATTAAAATTTCCATGTTCCTGGGTGATTCTGAAGCATATCTAGGACCAGGCAATGGGCCCTTGTCTAAGACTTAAGGTCCCTCAATCCTGAGCTCAGAGCTGTCCCTGTTGGAGACATTGCAGAGACTGGCTGCTGCCCTGGGTTATAGTGTGACCAAGGACCCTTTGGAGGGAAACCAGCCTCAGGCCAGCAGGGGGGACCCCAGGAGCAAGAGGCCTGCTCTTGTCGGTGTGTCCCTAATCTGCCCTTATTTATTAACCTGCCCACACTGACTCAACCTGAGAAATGTTGGAGAGTACCAGCTGATGGGCAGTATTTTAGGAGGGGCTTCCCTCAGCCCCTGGGAGTAGTCTAGGGAGGAAGGAGGTAGGAGGCAGGGGACCTGGGTTCCGGTTCCAGCTCTGCTACAGTTTTTCTCTTTAGACTTGGGTAGGTGATATCTCCCCTCAGAGCCTCAGTTTCCCCAAGAGTCACACGTGTGGAGCCTCAGTTCCCATTCTCCTAAATGACCTGTGTGAAGTGGAGCTGCTCTCCCTTAACAGAAAACCTAATGTGGCTCCCCATTGCCCATAGTCTTGGACCCCTGCCTGCCCTCCACACCTGTGTACCAGGGGCTCTGCCCACCACTCCAGCCTCATCATCCCTTACTTGAACTTGTCACGCAGGTTCTCCTCTGATCTTTTGTATATGCTGTTCCCTCTGCCTGGAATATTTTCTCTTGCTTTCACTGCCTGGCAAACCCCAATGTTTGGCTTTTGTCACCTCCTCCATGAAGCCTGCCCCTGCCTCCTTCTGCTAGTTACCCCCGTGATGTGTCCCTGCACCCTAGCCCCTTGGGTATTCTATGATCTACATTGGGAGCAACAGCTAGCCTTTTCTCTCAGCTGGGGGGATTGGTGGGGAGGGTGTTTGCAGACCAGAACAGCCTTTGGAATTAGTCTGGATTTCAGTCCAGTGCTGCTGCCACATAATTGCCTGTGTGTGACCTCGGGCAGGTCGCCCCACCAATCTAAGCCTCAGTTTTCTCATCTTTGAGATGAGATGAGAACAGAATTCTCACGATATTTTAAGGACCTCAGCGACAGAAGCAGAGTCCGTGTGAAAGAGGTTTGAGGTGGGGTAGTTTTTAGAGTTTTCAGAGCCCATTGTTTCCACTGCCTTTATCGAAGAATGGGAAGTGGGGGTTGATGGCCCTATAGGGGAAGCAGAAATCCCTGTTCCCTGTACTGTAGGGAAGGGCTAGGCGTGTAATAGGGGCTCACATTCAGAGCAGGAGTTCTTCAAAGATTGAATGAATGAGTGGATGAATGAATGAGTGAATGAAAGGAGGCAACTAGTTTCTGAATTTGGATATACCTTTTTGCCAGACCTTGTCTGTGCAAGGGTCGACCCGCGGCGGAGGCGGGAAGTCCCGCCCCCAGGAACCCTGCCCGTCTCCTAGCAACGGTCAAACATAATTGGCTCAGCCGTGCCCGTGGGCCTTCCTGCCGGCGTCAGCAAGGCTGCGTCGTTGGAGCCTTCTCGCCTAGCGGCTGTGACGCCCAGGCTGCTGCCCAGCGCAACCCCTCTCAGGTACCGAAGGTCCCTCTCCTGCCGCTCCAGCTGGGCACCCCCTTCTAAACAAAACTTTAGCCGGCTTTCCTCCTCCACGGACCCTGAGCTTGTGCCCTGAACCCAGCCCTCAGGGCCCGTTCGTGCCTTGCCTCGGGGGTTCTCGCCCTCTCTGACCTCACCAGACCCTTGCACGCGCTGTCCTCCTGCCCAGTTCGCCTGTCCCTACATTGCAAACTCATCCGTGCCCTGCTCTCACCCCGATGCTTCTCCTAGTGGAAGCACAGGGTTCTCTCCCAGCTTTTCGGTCCTTGGGTAATTGCACTGACCTGGAGCTGGCGTTCTGGAAATGTCCGTGATTGACTTGTGAAAGGAGGAGCAGCTGGGACTGGGGGAGGATAGAGACTCAAGCTGGAGAAGCTGAGGTTGCTTGTTTTCCCGATCACTGCAAGCCACCATTCTCAGTGGTTCATTGTTGAGTACCTACTGCGTGCCAGGCAATGTCCGTTCAACCCAGGACAGAACAAGGGATGGGAAGGTGGGTCATCCTGAAAGAGGCAGGGGTTCCCTCCTGGGAACAGAAGGAGGTGACAGCAGCTCCTTTATTTTCTTGCAGCCAGGAGTGCCAGGCCCGTGGGTGCTCAGCAGAATGTCGCTGAACGCCTGGGAGTGGGAGGATGAGGACCCGGTGAGCATGGGGCCCATGTCCTCCATGGCCAGCTTTTACCAGTCTGGGAGTGAGTGTGATGTGGAGGAGTACCTGAAGGTCAAAGCCCAAGCCCAGGAGTCAGACTCTGAGCACCCGTGCAGCAGCGAGTCCTCATTTGGGCTTGCAAGCACCTTCAACTCCGATGTGCCCCAGGCTGTCCCCTGCAAGTTCATCATCTCACTGGCCTTCCCAGTGAACACTGGTAAGTGCTGGAGCAGAATCCCAACACCCTCTGCAAAAAGGGGTGCGCCCATGACCTTCCCCCGGAAGTTTGGGGCACCTGAGCTCCCTCCACTGGCTTCCCCAAGTGAGGTGTCCAGTGCCAACAGCAGAAGTCAGGAAGGAAACTGCAATTTTAGGGGCCTGCTGTGGGCCGGGCAAGTAGGTGATTAAATAGGCTTCCCGTGCTTAATCCTCTCTACCCTAAAAAGCAGGTGGTACTATTTCTGCTTTTTACAGGTGAATGAATGAGGAAGAGATTACAGAATTGGTTTGTATAAGCTGCCTGTGCGTCCCCAGATTCCTTGTTTAAGTTCTCAGATGTATTGAATGAAAATCTCTGAGTGTTTGGATATATCGATTATCTGTTGCCCCCCAAATTCTGCGTAACAAACCCAAACAACTCCCCAAGTCAGGGGCCCCAAACAGGAATCCCTTGTTCTCCTGGATGAGCAGGTCAGCGGATCCAGGCTAGGCTTCCCTTGGTGGCTCTGTTCTGCTCCCCATGTCTCTCATCCTCCTCCGGGACGTGTGGCTTAGCCAGACACAGTCTTGCTGTGGAAAGGCAGAGACACCTGGGAGGGTAAGCCCAGACATCCAAGAACTCTTCTGGCCTTCGGGTACCTCTCACCTGCTCACAGTATTTTGACAAAGCAAGTCCCATGGTTGGACCCCTAAGATCAGGGGCAGAGAAAAGAACTCCACCTTGATAGACATTTTTTGGTCTACTTGCACTACCCCCTGAAGATTAATTTCAGCTTCTCCTTGTAGTTCTATCCATTCTTGCCTCTTTGGTTAGACACATACTATGCTTAGAATTGACCTGTCTTGGGCGCCTGGGTGGCTCAGTGGGTTAAGCCGCTGCCTTCGGCTCAGGTCATGATCTCAGGGTCCTGGGATCGAGTCCCTCATCGGGCTCTCTGCTTAGCGGGAAGCCTGCTTCCTCCTCTCTCTCTCTCTGCCTGCCTCTCCGTCTACTTGTGATCTCTCTCTGTCGAATAAATAAATGAAAAAAAAAAAAAAGAATTGACCTGTCTTCTTGGTGACTTGAACTCTTTACCTCGAAGACCAAGGGCAGGTAGGCAAAGCGCCACAGGTGAAAAATGTAAGGAGGCACATGCTCTCAGCGTCATGCAGTGGATTTCTGCCCTCTGTTACTCCACTGGCTAGGGGGCCCGGACCTGCCTCTCAGCCCCCCAGGTGGGGCAAGCGGCACGCGGGTGGGCGGCCTCCCATAGCATCAGGCTCTTTCTTGTTTCCAGGGAACCGTGGAGATGGATGTGCTCTCCCATGTGAGGTTCAGCCAAGACTCATTAAATCCATGTCTTCTAGGTTATAAAGGAAAATATACAGGTTTGATGGAAAAACATAAGAAACACCCTAAAATGGACAAACCTGCTGCAAAGTTTCGCCGTTACTACCACATTGAGTATTTCCTTCTGCCAGATGATGCTGAGCCTAGAAAGGTTGACATGGTGCTGTTTCCCCTGGTGGCCAAAGTGTTCCTGGATTCAGGAGTAAAGGTGTGTGTGTGTGTGTACCTCGCATAGAGTCTGCTATGGCGGAAAGTGCACTTGCTTCCCCTCGGAGCTTGCTAGAAATGCAGGATATCGTGTTCCACCCCAAACCTACTAAATGAGAGTCCACACCGACCTTATAATATCCATTACCGGACTTTCCATTTAGGTATCTTTTTCTAGTCATTTCTTTGGTGTTTTGAAACATTTTGCCGCTCTTGTGATTTCCTTCTCTGCGTGAGTACCCCGTGTGTCAAGGTGTGAGCACACCTGCCTGCTAGGACACACACACACACACACCCCCACCCGCCTGCCTGTGGCCCAACTCTGGCTCAGTGCTTGGAAGTCACTGGAAAGGGCAGGATGCGCAGGTAATTGCTTTGACTCTGTCTTTTTTCCGATAAACCCAGAAGTGTGACAGGGCCCCGGCCAGGACACTGATCTCCTGACATGAGGTGGGAGATGGGGAGCGCCAGGCCTAGAAGGCAGACAGGTGGAGAGCAGTGCCCTGGAGGGCAAGGCCAGTGAGGGTGGGTAACCTCAGGCTGCTAAGCCCCCCAGTCCTGCACACTTAAAGTCTCTTGGTATTCTTTTATACAGACAGTGAGGCCGTGGCATGAAGGGGACAAAGTCTGGGTGTCATGGACCCAAACTTTTAACATCAACGTGACGAAGGAATTACTCAAGAAAATAAATTTTCACAAAATAACCTTGAAGGTCTGGGACACAAAGGACAAGGTTTCAAGAAAAGTCCGGTATTACCGGTTAAAGAATACTGGGTATTCCGAAGATATGGGATCTTTCGGTAAGTTGGGTATCCGTTTTATTATTATTTTTTAAAGATTTTATTTATTTATTTGACAGAGATCAAAGTAGGTAGAGAGGCAGGCAGAGAGAGAAGGGGAAGCAGGCTCCCCGCTGAGCAGAGAGCCCCATGCGGGGCTCCATCCCAGAACTCCAGGATCATGACCCAAGCCGAAGGCAGGGGCTTTAACCCACTGAGCCACCCAGGCACCCCGGGTATCTGTTTTATTTGAAACACTTCTCCCGGCGTGTGATTTCTCACCAGGAGTAGGATCAAAGCCAGTGTCCCCTCTTTTCCTTCATCTCACCTTCCTGAGGCACATGTGGCTTTGGGTGTCAGTCCCTCCAGGACAAGCTTGAGCTTCCGGAAGTACCGCCCCCTGGAGTTGTGTCTGAGGGTGTGCGGTGTCTGTGCATGTGCGGCGCTCACCACCTCTACCTCCGCCGCATTTCTGGACTTCCTGTCCCCAGGCAGCACCCACACGTGGGTTTCCCACTGGCTTGTCTCCTGGCTGAGTATTGGGTGTTTTTGTTTTTGTTTTTTGTCTTTTTTTTTTTAAAGGATTTTATTTATTTATTTGACAGAGCAAGAGACCACAAGCAGGGGAAGAGGTAGGCTGAGGGAGAGAGAGAAGCAGGCTCCCCTGCAGAGCAGGGAGCCTGACGTGGGGCTGATCCCAGGACCCTGGGATCATGACCTGAGCAGAAGGCAGACACCTAACCATCTGAGCCACCCGGGCACCCCATACTGGGTGTTCACTGACGAAAAAGACACCACGAAACAAGAGAAAACTTAAGAATCCCATGACCCTGAGACAACCATATTAATCTTTTCATAGAGACCCTCTAGATTCTTATTTGGGTCAATATATTTCTTAAAGATTTTATTTATTTGTTTGAGAAGAGAGGGAGAGAGGGAGCACAAACAGGGGATGGGACAGAGGGAGAAGCAGACTCCCCGCTGCGCAGGGAGCCCAATGCAGGGCTCTGTCCCTGGACCCTGAAACCATGACCCCAGCTAAAGGCAGACACCCAACCAACTGAGCCACCCAGGTGCCCCTAGGTGAATATTTTATCAATGCCAGAAAGTCTCTTTTTGAGCTCACCTCCAAGGAGAGCTAGGGAGAGTGGAAAGATCCAGGCTTGGAAGTCAGTCAGCTCAATTCAACCTGTCTCCCATCTTGAACTAGCCAATGACCTTGGGCACCCTCCCACTTTCTCTACTTATATGCCTCAAGGCAGGGTAATGGGAGTGTACCCAGCCCCCAGCAATGAGAGAGTGTGTGTTGTCTGTATTTAAAAACGAAAATGCTGCCAATTAAACTATGCTGTGGCGTTAATTGTAAGACGTGTCCAGTTTTGAGAAACGTGAAAAGGTCATGGCAATGTGCGTCTGAGAATGGATGGAGTCTGGTACCATTATCACTGTTGTTGGTGGCTCCAGACAAGTATAGTTATTTTGCAGTGAGCAAAGGAGACTGACACCTGCTTGAAGTATGTGCAGTGCTAGAATCAGAACCCATTTTTTTTGTGACTAGCAGAACCCTCTGCTTTCTCCGGCTTTCCAGCCTGACTTCTTGGGGAGGCTTTCTGGCACGGACACTTGGCCCTTCTGACTGTTCATCTTTCACTTATATCTGGGTTTTCTTACCCTTGGTGCTATTGGCATTTTGGTTCAGATCATTTCTTGCTGTGGGAGCCGTCCTGGGCTCTACCTGCTAGATCCCAGTAGCAGCCTCCCAGTTATGACAACCAAACTTTTCTTCAGACATTGCCAAATGTTTCCTGGGGAGGGGAGCAGAAACACCCCTGGCTGAGAATCACTGGTTTATATCTAAACTACTCACTGTAGGGTTTCTGTATGAGAAAATGGCATTCAAAGAGACTTTTCTTACTTGGACCCAGGAAAGACCCATGTCTTCAAAGCATGGGGTTCAAAACCACCTGTGTTAGATGCGTTTGAAATGCTGCCCAGGGTGGGAGGTTGGGTGAGCCTGGTGGTGGGTATTATGGAGGGCACGTATTGCATGGAGCACTGGGTGTGGTGCATAAACAATGAATTCTGGAACACTGAAAAGAAATGAAATAGAAATTTTTTTTAAAAAAAGGAAAGAAAAAAGAAATGCTGCCCAAGTGCAGATCCCAGGGTCTGCCCCAGAGCTGCTAAACCAGAATTTCTGGTAAACATGTGCCCTGAAGTGAGCTCACATTGGAGCATGGGTGCTGGGGTAGATGTATGGGGCCATGGGAGCCAAGTCTGGAAAGGTAAATGAAATCTACTGGCCAGGAAAGAAGGAGGAAGTGTGCTCTAGGCCCTGCAGGGAGGGCCATGGGCCTTCGTGAGTGTACTTGAAATGATAGCACTTGGTCTTCCCCAAGCCCTATCTCACACCTGACATCACTGCCTCTTATGTTTAATTTCTTTCCATAAGCAGTGTATGTTCACTATGTAAAACAACTCAGAAATTGACTAGCACAGGAGCACCTGGGTGGCTCATTTGGTTGGGTGTCTGCCTCGTGATTTCAGCTTAGCTCATGATCTTGGAGTCATGGGATGATGGTCTTGGTGGGGTGGGGGTCTGTGTCTCTCCCTCTGCCCCTCCCCACACACGCTCTCTCTCTCTTTCTGAAATAAATAATCCTTAAAAAAAATTGACTAGCACAAGGGAGAAAGAACTAAGATAACATGATGCCTGGACCAGAGGCAGTCATTGCTAACATTTATCTGTGCGTCTTGTGTGTAAGTAGAAAGAACATTTTAATAAAAATGCATCTGGTGTGCTTTTTGTCTTAAGTCCTTTTTTCACCTTAAAAGCTGTCTTCTTGAAACTCTTGTCTGTGGGAGGAAAGCAACAGCCTGAGAGGTTTGGCTCATGTTCCAGAGAGGATAGGAAATGTATCTGGATGAACTATAGGTCCCCTGCCTGAACTGGTTAATTTTCAACCTGTTGCTGGTCTCGAATGGAACATCCCAACAAAAGTCAACATTCCTCCTCTATTAAATCTCCTCAGCTTCTTGGTTTCTCAGTTATAGGACAAAGACTGCATCGTTCACGAAGCCCCAGAGTCATGCATGACCCCAGCTATGCCTTCAGCTCTTGGCTGTCCCTCCAACCAACACCTGATTGGTGTCTCTGCCTCTGTGGGGCCCTTTGGGACTCTCTGCCTCTCAGCTGGCTCCTGCCTCGGCATTTAAGTCTCTTTCCCATCTCCTCTCCTACTGCAGTTCCCTGACTTGTCTATAGCCCTGCTTTGACCTTGGCACTCCATTGTTCTGTACCTTTTTATGGCCGTCTGGTGGTTTGGGGAACCAGGTCCATTTTCTGAGTCTGGCCTTGAAGGCATTCTCTAATTTGTTCCCCAAGCCTCCTTTCTCACCGCTATTCTCACCTTCACTTCTGGTCCCTGAAAACACGAGGGCTTTCCTGGTTGTGAGCCCTGCCTTGAGCTATGGGGCCATACCCAGTGGGCTCTTAGCCTCCTTCTTTCTCCACAATCAGTACCTGTCCTGAAACACTGAATCTAGTCGCACCTCTTCTTTTCTTCACCTCTTCCTTGTAGCTTCCATTATCTGCATTCATTATTCCTCCCATGTTGGTTGCTGCTACAAGCATACGGAGTCCGGTATTGATAGAATGAAGGAGAGAGGGCTCATCTCCCTAACTGGCTGCGAGGAGCCCTGGGGGGTAGTTCTGGCTCAGTAAGTACCAGTTCTCTGACCACAGGAAAATTACATAAGTGTCATACTCCCCACCTGTAAAATAGGGGAAGTGGGAGTGCCTTCCTTCACGTGAAGCGCCATGATCAAATGGAAGGACGCATGTCAAGTACTTAATGGTCTTGTTTGGAAGAAGCCATTGCCAGCTGAGGTTTGGGTTTCCTGGCATTTTGAAGCAGCGCCTAGGAGTCTGCTCCTGCAGGGCAGGGGCCCTGCCTCTGTTATCCGCCTGTTCCTTCTATAGCCCTAGGAGAGTGCTGTACACGTAGAAGGTGTTCCATAAGTATTTCTGATTGGTTTGAGTCAGTGGTTCTTCTCCTGTCTTCTAGAAGAAGTGAAAAGTTTGGTTTTAAATCAGAGAAGATTGTCTGCACAGGCCCCACACATCAAAGAGGAGTGGAACCAGGAGGATGCACGAGATAAAGCAGAAAAAGCAGGAAAACACATCAAGTCTTTGCGTGGTGAGTGGAGATGACCTTTGTGAACAAGTTGGGGGAAGTCGATGGCAGGGAAGGGGATAGATGGGTGTTGCTGGTGTCGTGCATGTACACTGGTATCCTTCCTATGTATCAGCAACTCCTGCTGGTGCTGGTTCATTCTGGAAGGCATCACTGCTCTCAGTGCAGGAATCACTTTTTGTGGTTGTCCTTTTTCTTTGTTTAATTTTTATTTAATGACTTATAAAACTTTTCTAACTGTAGAAGTTACATATGTGTGGTTTGCTTTTAGAAAAGTCAGTGACTATGGAAAAATATAAAACAAGCAGGGAAAACAATCTATAGTTCTATCACCAGGAACAAGCATTATAATATTTTGGTTATTATGTTATGGAAAATTCCTTTGTTGTAAGATTTTTTTTTTTTTACATAGATAGGATTGTTCTGGATACATACTTTTGTATTCTGAGATTCTGAGATGAATATGTCCCTACATGCACTTTCCTATTTACTTAAGAACCTATTTACTAAAGAACTGCATAAACTGCATTTGTGGTGTCCATAATTTTTCATCTGCTGGTAGCATTGACAGATTCTCTGTAGATGGGGAATAGGGATCTTAGGAGTGTTTTCAGTATTCTCTGATGTAAACAGTGCCAAATTAGACAACTGAATAGATAGCGACTTTTTTTTCCTTTTTTTTTTTTTTCACCCTCCATGGGGTGTTATATAAGAAATTGGTGGCTTCCTCTTGCTTCCATTTGTCCAAATAATCCTCATTAGTCTGTGCATATTCATTCATTTACTCATTTATTATTAACCGGCCTTTTTATGCTCACCGCTGCTTGGTGACTGCCATTACAAAATGGGTAAAGGACCCTCATTTCTTAAGGAACTAGAATGGACCAGGAAGTCCATTTGCTAATAAATATTATCATATTCTCACCCAGCGGAGTTTGAAACTTTTCCCAAGATCCCCGAGGGAGATGAGAAGGTACTCAGAATGGAAGAACTTGCCACAGTTCGGTAAGGATGGAACCATGCTATTTCGGCAATTGGGAGTAGAACCCCCTCTTGCATAAACCGTACAGTGTCTCACCGAGAGTCATGTGGATTTTTAGTAACTTAGCTAAGTCAGAGCTCATGCAATCCAGGTGAAATTAAAGGAACAGAGAAAGGAATGCTTGTGTTTATGAGCGCAGATATGCCCTGTGCTTTTGCACATGTTGGTTTACCTCAATTCTCATCATGGTCACTCTGAGAGATGGTATTATTACTATTTCTGTTTTCTTCATAACATAACAGAGTGGTTAGTGATTTGCTCAAAGTTTTAAAACTGGAATTCTTGGGAATCTTGGGAGTGTTGGTAAAGCCAGGACTCTAGGACTTCAGAGCACCAAGTCCACAGCCTTTCCTGCTATGAGTGCAATTGCTCTTAGAGCCTAAGAAGGATCTGGAGATTCCTTGGATGCCGTGGGGACCAGAGGTTGAAAGGAGGCCCAGCTGGAGGCTTGGGAGAGTGGGATGGGGAGAACCAAGAGACTGTGTCATTAAAAAATTTTGACTTCTAAAAAATTGTTTTTTTTGTGTTGAATTGACACATTAATTTGAGAAGAACTGACATTTTTATGTTCTGAGGCTCTCCCATCCATGATCATGGTATATCTTTTCACCTAATTCAGCTCCTCCTTTATGATTTCTAATAGAGTTCAAAAATTTTTTTTTCTTCCTATAGATGTTGGATAATTCCTGCAAATGAATTCCTGGATATATTAGAGTTTTGACTGCTTTTATAAAAATATATTATTTTCCATAATATTTCTAGTTAGAAATTGATAATGCGAGTGTGGTCTGCAGAGCAACAGCATCAGCATGACTGGGAACTTGTTAGAAATGTGGACTCTCAGGTCCACCCCAGGCTTACTGAACCATACCTGCATTTTCTTTAAAGATTTTTTTTTATTTTTTATTTTTATTTATTTCACAGAGAGAGATCACAAGTAGGCAGAGAGGCAGGCAGAGAGAGAGATAGAGGAGGAAGCAGGTTCTCCACTGAGCAAAGAGCCCGATGCAGGACTCGATCCCAGGACCCTGAGATCATGACCAGAGCCGAAGGCAGAGGCTTAACCCACTGAGCCACCCAGGCGCCCCACCTGCATTTTCTTTAACAGCATTTCCAGGTGATTCATATGCACATTGAAATTTAAGAAGCATTGGTTAGAGGAATGCAATGTCATTTCTTAAAGATCTGCGCATGGAAAAAAAAAAAAATCTCATGGGACACCTGGGTGGCACAGTCAGTTAAGCATCTGCCTTTGGCTCAGGTCCTGATCCAAGAGTCCTGGGATCGAGTCCCACATCAGGCTCCTTGTTCAGCAGGGAGCCTGCTTCTCCCTCTGCCTGCTGCTCCCCCTATTTGTACTCACTCTCTCTCTCTCTCTCTCTCTGACAAATAAATAAATAAAATCTAAAATAAATAAATACAATAAAAATCTGCTCACATTTGGTCCAGTAAATAGATTCTTTGGTCCGGTCCCTGCTTTTTTTCACCTTCATTTATTTTTCTCTCTGAATTTTCTAGATGGAGTATTTCAAGAGAAACAGCTCTTTCTTTGGGAGCAGCAGTCAGCATGGAGATGGAAGGAGAAGATCATCATGAGAGATCATCATTTAGCAGCTTAACAAACATGTTAGAAAAGCAAAAATTTCAAAGTAAGTTAGGATGGGATTTTGGAATTTTATAATATAACTAGACTTAGAAGCATTATGAAATATTTCAAATTCAGAATACCTCAGAAAGATTGTTGATATGTGACCATATGTTACTTGAAAGTAAGAACACTACATACCCTTTCAATTTACCCATTCTGTCTCACCCCATCCAGCCATTCCAACCCACCTTCTCCCATTCATTTACCTGCATCATCCCACCCATTTGCACATCAGCCCTTCCCACTCCTGCCAATGCTTCCACGCTCCTGACTCACGATGTCATGAATGTGGGGAGCATGGAAGTCTCTAAAGTTGACTGTAGACTTTCAAATAAATAACTGCATTCCTATGTGATAGATGCTGTGGTAAGTGTAGGTAGGTATGTTGAAGAAGCAAAGAGTCAGCTTTATAGAAGGACTCTCAGAAGATAAGAAGTTCTTCGCTTCTTATGGTAGAATGAGGGAAATTGCATCCCAGGTTGCAGGAACCACTCATGCAGAAGTCTGTAGTCTTGGTGACAGACCGAGAGGCAAGGGTTCTCAGAAGCTACTACATTGACCTCTTCCTTCTTTTTTTTTTTTTTTTAAGATTTTATTTATTTATTTGATGCAGAGAGACACAGTGAGAGAGGATATGGAAGCAGGGGGAGAGGGAGAGGGAGAAGCAGGCTCCCTGCCGAGCAGGGAGCCCAATATGAGGCTTGATCCCAGGACCCCGGGATCATGATCTGAGCCAAAGGCAGACACTTAATGACTGAGCCACCCGGGTGCCCTGACCTCTTCCTTCTTAACCTTGTTCTCTTCACCAGTTTTTCAGCCAGCAGTTAGGTTTCCTGTATGAGGTGGAATATTCTAGAACTGGTGCACTTGCTGCCTCCTGGGATGGCCCACTGTACTGTTTGTACAGCTGTAATTGGTACAAATCATTTCCTTAACTCTTTATCCATTAAGTCCGCTTTTCCTGGTTCGAGTTCAACACTCTGAAGCTGCAGAGAGAAGTGACTGCTCCAGGCGGGCTCTCTGCCAGGCGTCGGAAACACAGTTGCTCACATTCCCTTTTTAAGGCCCTAGAAGACTAGTCCACGCTTTCATATCGGAACACCTTCAGCTCTTTGAAAAGTTTTCTTTTCCAGATTAAATAGCCTCACCTTTTAAAAATATTCTTTAAGCATTTGAATGAGATTTTCAAACCATCTTTTTATTTTGAAAAAAAAAAAAAATAGAACACCAAAAATTACGATGTATGTACAATTTAGGCATTGAGATTTTGCAACATTTCCTTCATTTTTCTTGCTCTTTCCCCTTCTTTCTTTCTTCCTTTGTTTCTTTCCTTCCTTTATTCCTCCTTCCCTCCCATCCTCTCTCCCTCCAGCCCTCCCATCCTCCCTTCCTTCTTTCTTTTTGAAAAGAAGTTTACATGTAGTCTCCTTTGCATCCTGTGCTTTTAAGAAGCATCCCCTAGGGGGCGCCTGGGTGGCTCCATTGGTTAAGCATCTGCCTTTGGCTCAGGTGGTGATCTCAGGGTCCTGGGACTGAGCCCCGTGTAGGGCTCCCTGCTCAATGGGCTGTCCACTTCTCCCTCCCCTGCACCTGTGCTCTCTCTCTCTCTTTCTCTCAAATAAATAAATAAAAATATTTTTTAAAAAGCATTCCCTATCCTACATAGAAATTGGTGTGACCCTTTCCTGCCACCCCATTCTTTTTTTTTTTTTTTTTTAAGATTTTATTTATTTATTTGACAGAGGCGATCACAAGTAGGCAGAGAGGCAGGCAGAGAGAGTGAAGGGGAAGCAGGCTCCCCGCTGAGCAGAGAGCCTAACGCGGGGCTTGATCCCAGGACCCTGGGATCATGACCTGAGCTGAAGGCAGAGGCTTTAAACCCACTGAGCCACCCAGGTGCCCCTTCCACCCCATTCTTTCTGACACATTCATTGTTGTATTGATTTTTGTTTTTATGAGTTACAGAAATGGTTTCATACTGTACCTATCTTCCTGCAACTGGCTCTTTGCATTCAGCTTGATTTTTGAGGTTTATTTGTGTCCACATGTCTAAGTCCAACTCCTTCCTTGTAAATTCTATAGAGGGCCCCATTGGAGGGCTGTGCATTCCTACACCCATGGACTCCCCACTGAGAGACATTTGAGTAGTCTCCAATTTCCCACCGTCACCAACGCTGTGATAGCGATCCTCCTTGTGCAGGTCTCTGTGTGTCTGTGCTACAGAGCCTAGGGCATTTGCCCAGTGGGGTCAAAGGGCATGGGAAACGCACCTCGATCCCTCAGGAGGTATTGCTGGTTTTTATTCTCTGGGTTGTACGTATGTGCCCTCCTGACAGAAGTCCTGAGAATTCTAGCTTTCCCTGTTATCAGTCATGCTTGGCATGGTCAGGGGCTTACTTCCTGATTCCTTGTGGACTCGAAAGCATCTCCTATGCTTATTTGGTTATAATCTTATGTAATTTGGCTATTCCTGCTTCTTGGCTTACTTTTCTGTTTTGTTTTTTTTTTTAAGGATTTATTTATTTATTTGACAGAGATCACAAGCAGGCAGAGAGGCAGGCAGAGAGAGAGGGAAGCAAGCTCCCTGCTGAGCAGAGAGCCCGATGCGGGACTCAATCCCAGGACCCTGAGATCATGACTTGAGCCGAAGGCAGAGGCTTAACCCACTGAGCCACCCAGGCACCCCTTTCTGTTGAGTTTTAAGCTTTTCTTTTAAAGATTTTATTTATTTATTTGAGAGAGAGGGAGTAATTTGAGGGAGCAGGAGAAACAGACTCCCTCCTCAGCAGGGAGCCCATCTCAGGGGCTTAGAACTTGAACCCTGGATCCCAAGATCATGCCCAGGCTGAAGGCAGATGCTTAACCGCCTGAGCCACCCAGGCACCTCTAGGTTTTACATTTTTTTCTTATGGATTCAGAAGCTTTATTCTTTACATCTTCAGATGATTATGTGTGATCAGTTACGTACCCTGTAAACATCATAGGCCGGGGTCTGTAAGTTACCCGTTTACTCTATGTGTGCTGCTTTTGCACACCAGTTATGTAACTATTCCTTTCCAGTTTGTACTTTCTGTGATGTTTAAGAAATCCTTCCTCATCTGGACATCAGTAGAGTCTCCTGTGTATTCTTCTAATTAGTTTGAAGTTTTTTGTTTTCCACCGTTAGTCTGCCTTTCATTTTGCCTATGGCACAAGGTGCCCGATAATTTCATTTGCCTCCAGATGGAAAGTATAATTAATTGACTAGTCCATCCTTTCTCATTAATCTGAAATGCCACCCTGGCATCTGTTAAGTCCCCTATGTGTGCAGTGTATTTCTGGGCTTTCTATAGTCTGTTCCATTGGTCTTTGTATCATGGAACAAATAGCTCATGGCTTTAATTACCATAGATATATATATGTTTTATTGTCTCCTCCCCCACCCCTGGATCTGAGCTTGGCACAGAGCTGAATATTTTATGTTCCTTTGCTCATTTACTCTTTTCAACACCCTACAAGGTAGGCACTACTATCCCCATTCTACAGGTGAGGTGACTGAGGCTCAGGATGGTTAAGGAAGGGGAGACTTGGTTCCGGAACCTTGGTGGTCTGACTTCAAAGCCCAAACCTCAACCCTACTCTGTGGTTAAGAGTTGACTTGGGGGAGGAGTTTGGTATGTGGCGATGTTGCTCTTCATCCAACCTCGGCCCCCTCTGCCCATGTTTTTGGGGCGGACCGGCTGGGAGATCAGGATGGCCCTCATGTTCTTCCTGCATGTAACTGACAACCACTTTGTCATCTACATGTAAACACCTCTTCTGGTTGCTGGGGAAGGGTGGCAGCATAAAGGATGACCTCCGCCTTCCAGGGTCTTCCAGAACCTCTTTGAGTCTCTGTAGCACGTATGCATTCACATACGGGAGCTTGGATATGAGCTCCTTGGAACGCTTGTTTTCTTCCTTTGATTTCACAGTTAAAAGGAAAGACTCAGAGGGGAGAAAGAAGAGCCAGAAGAGAGGGAAGAAATCTCAAACAGAGGAGGAAACTGACCTCAAGATGGGAGGAGATTGGAAGCATGGTACCTTCTCCACCGAGCTGGCAGTGATGCCACTCCTTGCAGGTGGCTACCCCTGGTCCCAGCGGGTCTTGGTTGTTTTGTCCCATGTGGCTAGAATGTCCATAAACAGGATGCCCGCATTGACCAAGCCTCTGTTCTGCCACCTAGCTTCATGCCCACAGTCACTTCAGCAAAGTGGAGGTAAGTGTCTCTGTTGTACAGAGGAGGACAAGGAGGCACAGAGAGGTCAGATGTATTGTTCGAGATCACCCAGCAAGTAGGGGCAACGCCACGGTTTGAACTCAGGCCTGCTTCCGAAGAAACTGGTGAGAGTAATTGTGCTAATTTTGTTTGCTAAATAAGATGCTGCTTTTTATAAGCACTTTCTTGCAGATGTTTATGAAAGCATCTAGTGGAGGAAAGGGGGGAAGGAGCCAGTGTTTCCCCCCGGTCCTTTACTGCTCATGGCAAACTCTGAGCCTCCCAGTAAGCTTGTAGGAGTGCTGTCGGGGTGCCTGTTCTTGGTTCTGTGAGGAACCAAAACTTGAAGAAGGCAAAGCAATTCACTTGAGATCACATAGCTCGGGGCAGAACTGGGGTTCTGTTCTCTTGCTCCGTAAGATTGATCACAATTTGGAAACTAGGTTATCTACGGTTTGACAAATAATAAGTAGGTATGCGTGTTATATCCCTAGGTCTTGATAACGGAAATCTCACAATGTATTTTGGGTAAAATTACATGACTTTGTTTTTAAAATAGTAATATGGGGGGTAACCCTCTTTGTTTTCAGAAAAGTCTATTTCATGGTGGGGGGGGTACGGGAGGGGGTTTGTGGTTGGCTATTAGGGTGAATGTGCGCCCTCTACTGGCCAATCTGCAGAAATTGAGGCTACTGTCGAGCTGGCCCAAACCCTTGCAGTGGGCTTGCGGTTTTACCCCATAAACGTTACACAGGTGCCAGGAAAATCGAATGCTCACAAGCTCTTGTATTGCCAGCTATACATTTTTGAGGAAATACCATTAACTTTTCAGTTTTCCTTTTTAAATGGATTTTTGAAAATCAGCTTTCACCTGAAGTTGGGCCTTGAATTCAGGCTGTCTTAGTTTTCCTGGAGCAATGGAGTCTTTTCGAGAGAAGTGAATTTTCAGAGACGCTTACCCCCTCTCAGGCTGTGGTCCAGGAGGACCCAGCCTCCACACTGCAGTTTCAAGCTTCTGCTCGGGGCACACATCTCTGGGGCAGCTACCTTGTGGGCTGAGTCCCCAAGAGAAACTGGTGCCTAGAGGTGGGTGAGCTCCGGGTGACCTGTTGACTTTGGATCGAGGTTGATTTTGCTTAATTTTGCTGTGGGGGGAAGGAGAAGCTCAGATGGTCTCAAACAGCCTGGTGTGACTTTTTCCAGCAGGGTGAAGCCCAGAGGTGTCTGCCGGCTCCCCGCTGTCAAACTGTGCCGTCACGGCCCTGTAACGGCTCAGTGATTCCAAAAGCACCAGTGACAAACAGACTTTGAATCTTGGCTCAGCCACTGCCCAGCAAGTTGGCCACTTCCTCTGAGTCCTTCAGCTCCATGTCCTTATCTGTAGAATGGGGGGAGGATTTCTACCCCGGAGGGCTGCAGTAACAGTCACGTGAGATAATGTGCATAAATTTGCACACAGTAGGACTCAGAGAGGTTACTGAAGTGGAGCCGCTTCTGTCAGAACATTTGGGTGGGCTGGATACAGGGCGCTGGGCCTCCAGCAAGAAAGAAAGACAAGCCTCCTTCCTTATACCGATATCACGGTTTATGGTCCTCAGCTAAGAAGGGCCTTAGCTCGGCAGGCCAACTGGATGTTTGTTTTTGCCATAAAATAACAGCGTAAGATCATTCTAAAACCAGCATGATAATTTTTGCTCATCATCTTTGATTTCTAATTGGGCCCTAGGCTTTGCATCCCTTAGTGGTGGATATTGGTTGGCCAGTAACCCATTACGATTCTAAAAGGACTCTGGAATGATCTCTTGATTTTTGTTGCAGAGTGGAGGGGCCAAGTGTTGCCAGGCAGGACTGGTTTGGACATGCGTTCCACACTTCTTGGCTGAGCGACCTGGGATGCTTTCTGAACATTTCTGGATGCCAGTTTCCTCTGTCTAGAAAGCAGAGATGGAAGCAGCCACACAGGGCTGTTCTGAGGACCCATGACTTTAATGCACACTGAGGTCTGGCTGGTGTAGATGAACGCTCATTGCGGGGTCCGTTCCCAGGCTCCGTCTCTCTTACTCCGGAGCAGGGCTTCTCAGCGTGGGCACTTGTGCCCCTAGGGGGACATTTGGTCATATGAGGAGGTTTTTTTCTTTTCTTTTTTTTTTTTTTTTTAAGATTTTATTTGTTTATTTGACAGAGATCACAAGTAGGCAGAGAGGCAGGCAGAGAGAGAGGAGGAAGCAGGCTCCCCGCTGAGCAGACAGCCCGATGCAGGGCTTAATCCCAGGACCCTGGGATCATGACCCAAGCCAAAGGCAGAGGCTTTAACCCACTGAGCCACCCAGGCGCCCCATGAGGAGGTTTTTTGGTTGTCACAGGTGGGAGCGGAGGGATGCTGCTGTTCCATAAAGCAGAGGACAGTCCCCACAGCCGAGAATTCTCTGTCCCCAAGTATCTGTGGTTTTGAAGTTGTGAAACCCTACTCTGGAATTATGGCTGAACCCTCCCTCACTTTCTGAATGGTGGTTTGAGTGCACATTGGTGGTGGAGATATCTTCCATACTGGGCAGTCTTTTTCACGAAAAGGTTTACAGAGTTCTAGAATACAAGTCATGATTAGTTATGGCTTTGACGAGTCAGCTTTGTTGAAGAGAAAGCCGTGGGAGCCCTGAGAGCTGTCCCCAGCAGGTGCACATGGCCCCATGGTCACGCCGTTGAGCTCAGCCGCACACCCGGGGCCCATAACTTATTTTAGAAGGGAACCTCTTTCCGAGTGTGAGTGACTGGGCCTTCGTGTGCCCTAGAAATTTACAAACCTCGTGAAAGGAACAGAACTGATCTTTCTGCGTGCCCACTAGCCTCTTCCCGTACATATACCCTCTTAATCACCCTAAGCACGGTGGGATCTCTGCCCATATGAAGAAAGGAAGCCCCTCAGAGCCTCTGACTTCTTGTAGGTCACGTGACTACAGCGCGAGCCTAGGCCTCTCTGCTTGTACAATGGAAGATTTGACCTCCCCCCAACTCCCAACACCATTCATTATTTCTCCACCTGGTATGGACCCTTTTCAGGAGAAAAAGATTCTCCCAGCTACGTGTTTCCCACACAGTGGCTCCATTTACCTGCCCTTTTCCCTAGTTGCCCTACTGCAACATGGCCCTACCCGAAGTGTGCTGTGCTCGATCCAGCTCTGTTGTACCAGTTGTGTTCTACGTCTGGAGCTGCACTTCTCTGCTTGGACCACACCCGTTAAAGCAGCACCACCGGCCACCACAACAGACACCCCGGCATTCCGTGCTCTTGAACGTCTTCTCTTCTAAAGTCATTGCCTGAAGCAGCACCTCCCAGAAGAGCTTTCTGTGGTGATGGAAATGTTCCAGATCTGTGTGGTCTGGTCCAGTAGCTCATAGCTACACATGGCTACTGGGCATTTGAAATGTGACTCCTGTGATGAAGGAACTGCATTTTAAATTGTATTTAGTTTTATTTATTATTTGTAAAGATTTTTTATTTATTTGTCAGAGAGGGAGAGACAGCACAAGCAGGGGGAGCTGCAGGCTCCCTGCTAGGCAAGGAGCCCGATGCGGGGCTCTATCCCAGGACCCTGGGATCATGACCTGAGCTGAAGGCAGACGCTTAACCCACTGAGCCACCCTGGTGTCCTGCCTGGGGAGCTTTTAAAAACCCTAGAGTAGAGCCTATATCCCAGACCCAGTAAATCTGACTGCTTGAGGGTCCCACCTAAGCATCGGTATCCTTGTAGATGATTCAGGAAATGCTTAAATTACAAGATGGTCATCAAGATTAAATCACAACAATTAAATTCTCTTAGGGAGCTTATGGGACATCAGTTTGAGAAACTGACATATAATGTGCTGACAGTAGGTGTTTGCTAATTGTTGTTTTTTGGTTTTGGGTTTTTTGTTTGTTTGTTTGTTTAGTTTTCTTCTCTTGGTTATAATTTATCTTTGGCTCTTCTCAGGTTGCCTGATCCCTCTGTACTTGTCTTGGAACTGTCATGAGTCACAGTCTAACACTGTCTGTATTTCCCTCCTGCCCCCTCCAGGATGGCAAACTATTGTGAGTCGTGGTAGGGAGAAGTCTGCCAGCATTTTAGATTGTTTTTTGACTTTAAAAACAGAAGGTCCTATCATGACTGAGGAGCAAAAGCAGGACTTAAATCCCTTGACCATAAAGATCAAGTGTGTTTCCTGCCTTCCGTCACAACCTGTTCCCTTCCGTGAACTAGAGGTAAGATTGAGTCAGAAAAATTGATTGGAGAGCTCTTTTTCCCATCCGGTTGCCCATTACATGTCATCTCTAATTCCCCACAATGGCCTGCTGTGAGATGTATTATCATCCCTATTTCACCATTTAGGCTCTCACAGCGAGATATGAGAGATCAGGTTCCTTCCTGGGTTTAGGAGCTACTAACGCTCAATGTCTCCCCATTACACAACAGATGTCCTTCCAAGGCAGGTAGTGAGCCTCCCATCAGAAGAGTCCCCAGGCTTCATGGAGACAGGAGCAGTGCTCACGTAGATGCTCACGCATTTTGAACAAACCGGGTTTAGCCCTGATATTTACCCTGGGAGTTTCCTTCTTCTTCTTCTTCTGGTGGGATCCTTGTCTCCTGGATTCTGTCTTCCTTTTGCTTTGTTTGCTGTCTGGTTTTGCTGGAACACATCTGCCTGTAGCTTCTTGAGGAAAGGTTAATGAGAGATACTTGTTTTGAGGTCTCATGTGTCTGAAAATATCTTTATTCTACCCTTACTCTTGATTAATAGTTTAGCTGGGTAGAGAATTCTCATTTTTCTTCAGTTTTGAAGGCATTATGTTTTATGTTCCATGTTGACCCTTTTGAGCTTTTTTCTTTTCTCAAAGCTGTAGAATCTTCTTTCTGTTTTCAAAAACTGCTTGATTAGGTGTCTTAGTGTGGGCATATCCATATCCATGTATTATACTTCCATTTTGAAATAAAAATTCAGAGAAAGTTGCAAAGGTGGTACAGAGAGATCCTAAGTACCCTTTGCCTGTTTTTTTTTTTCCAGTGGCTATGTCTTATGTAACAATAGTATAATATCAAAGTCAGGCTATTGATAAGTGTGTGTGTGTAGTTCTCTGTCATTTTATCACATGCATGAATTTATGTAATTGGCATTGCACTTAAGATACAGAGCTATTCCATCACCACAAAGATCTCTCATGCTCCCCTTTTATAGTCACAACTGCTTCATAACCTTGCATTATCCCTAAGCACTAATATGTTTTCCATCTGTATAATTTTGTCAATTTGAGAATGTCATTGTTGAGGATTGAATTGTGTTCCCTCAAAAAGGTATGTTGAACACTTAGCTTCCAGTGACTCAGAATGTGACTTTATTTAGAAATTGGGTCTTTACAGAGTTAATCTTGTTAAAATGAGGTCATCAGAATCCAGTATGGCCAATGTCCTTATGAAAAGCAGAAATTTGGATGTAGAGACTGACACAGACAGAAGGAAGACTAAATGAAGAGATGTAGAGAGAATGCTATGTAATGAGTAGACTTATGTTGTCACAAGCCAGGAGATGTCTGGGGCTACCAGAAGCTGGAAGAGGCAAGGAAAGATGCTGCCTTAGCACCCTCTGAGGGAGCATGGCCTTGCCGACATCATGATTTTGCACTTAAAGCCTCCAGAACCGTGAGACAATGACATTCTGTTATACTAAGCCACCCCGTTCATGGTAATTTATTATGGCAGTCCTAGGAAATTAACAGTTATATAAATGGAAACATCCAGTATGTGACCTTTTGAGATTGGCTCCCCGTCCCCATTCAGCATAATGCCCTTGCATTTAGTGAAGCCATTTTTTATTTACTTTTAATTGGTTTTTAAGACCATTTACATTTAGTGCAATTATTGATATTTTAGAGCTTAAGTCTGCCATTTTAATATTAGTTTTCTATTTTCTGTTTCTTTTGTTTCTTTGTTTTCTTTTTCCTGTGTTCCTGTGGGTTCTTTGAAAATTTTAGAATTCTATTTTGATTTATCTGTAGTATTTTTGAATGTATAGGTTTTTAGTGGTTGCTCCAGAAATTATATTATGCATACATAACTTATCACAGTCTACTGGTGTCAACATCTTTCCAGTTTGAGTGAAGTAAGAAACCTTACCTTCCTTCAAATCTGTTTACCCTATCTCATTTATAATTGTCTTAAATATTTCCTCTATATAGACTGAGAACCACTTCAAGATGTTTGACTTTTTGCTTCAATGGTCAAATGTAATTTAGAAAACTCAAGAGGAGAAGGAAAGTGTATTGTATTTACCTATAGATGTGCTCTTTCTAATGTTCTTTATTTCCTTTCTGATGTTCCAAGATTTCCTTTTCTTTTGCTTTTTAAATTATTTCTGTTTCAAGAACTAAATGACTAAAGTCATTCTTTTAGGGTAGATGTTATGACAACAGATTCTCTTTAGTTTTTCTTTGAGATGTCTTTATTTCTCCTCTATTCCTAAATGATAGCTTCACGTGATTTAGAATTTGGGGTTGGCATTTCTTTTTCTTCAGCATTTGAAAAAAGTTGTGCCACTTCCTTTTGACCTCTATGGTTTTTTTTATGAGAGATCAACTGTCATTTGAATTATTCTTTCCCATTGTGCTGGGTGGAACTTATCTCTTGCAGCTTTCAAGTTTTTTTTCTTTGTCTCTGGTTTTTGAAAGTTTGACTCTGATGTCTTGGTGTGGATTTTTTCGGGGTTTATCCTGTTGGGTTCACTCAGTTTTCTGAAACTTAAGTTTATGTCTTTTGAAAAATTTGGGAAATTTTAGCCATTATTTCTTTAAAAAAAAAGATTTAATTAATTTATTTATTTTAAAGAGAGCAGGAGAGGGAGGGGCAGAGGGAGAGAGACAGGGAGCAAATCAGACTCCTTGCTGAGTGTGGAGCCTAACACAGGGCTTGATCCCAGGACCCCGAGATCATGACCTGAGGTGAAATCAAGAGTCAGATGCTTAACTGACTGAGCCACCCAGGCGCCCCACCATTATTTCGTTAAGTACCTTCTAGCACTACCCTTTTCCTGCTTTCATGACTCCAGTGTCATGAATGTTAATTCATTGTTACATCCCACAGGCCCCTGAACTTTTGTTCATTTATTTTTAGTCTGTTTTCCTCTATGTTCTTCAGGCTGGGTAATTTATATTGTTTTATTTTCAAGTTCACCAAGTCTTTTCTCTGTCCCTTACATTCTGTTATTAAGCCCATCCACTGAATTTTAAATTTTTAGAAAGTATTGTGTTTTTCAATTCTAAAATTTCCATTTAGTTCTTTTTTATATCTTCTATTTCTTTGATGAGGCTTTAAATTTTTTCATTTGATTCAATCATGTTCACACTTGCTTTAAATCATGTTCTTGCTTGCTTTAAAATTACAAACAATTCTAAGATGTGTCAGTTTGGTGTTAGCATCTGTTGATTGTCATTACTCATTTAAGGTGGGATTTCTCTGGTTCTTGCTATGATAAATGATTTTTAAATTATATCCTGGACATATTAGATATTAAGTTATCCTATTTAAGTCTTATGTTTTAAATCTTCTGCCAGTGGAAGAAGGAGAATGCTGTCTTATTCCTGTCAGGTGGAGGTGGCAGTCCAGGTTCTTTCATTCTTCACAACCATGCCCTAGGGTCAGATAGCCTTGCTACTACATGCTTCGCACATGACCTTGGCTAACCACCATAGTGGTGCAGAGGCCACATAAGTACTGGATGGTGAGGCACAATTTTGGCCTCTGCCTCCCTTGATGCCTTGTTACTACTAGGCAGGGATGAAATCCTTGACTCCCCACTTGATCTTTTCTCATGCCACCCAAGTGAGGGGAATTGCTACAGTCGAGCAAGGGTGGAAATCTGGGTTTCCCATTTGACTTTGCTTATGGGAGTGGGTTGGGGCTGGTTTTCTTCATGGTGCTTGCTTGAAAGTTTTCTGGCTCACTAAGCTGCCCCATTCTTGTTTCTTTGGCTGGAGAGAGAAGACTTTGGGGGGATTTCCCCCCCCAAAATCCCATTAACATTTCTGAGTTTCTGTCTTCTCCAGCACTTAGTCTAGAACATATGAGGCAAGTAGAAACCCCAGAGAATTCTTCACAGTCCTTAACCTTCATCTCTGCATCCTTCTGAGTCTCTTTATGTTTGTTTTATATATAAATCCCAGAGTTGAAAGCATCTGTGCTTAGCAGGAGAAATAGGGAAAAGTGTGTTTATTTCATTGTGGTCCAGAATAGGAAGCCTGTAGGTATATAGATATACATGTACATTTAAAAAAATTTTAAGATTTTATTTTTAAGTGATTTCTGTACCTAATGTGGAACTTGAACTTAAGGCCCCATGATTAAGAGTTGCATGCTTCACTAACTGAGCCAGCCAGTGCCCCTAGGTGTAGATATATTTTGTTTTTATTTTATTTTAAGATTTTACTTATTTATTTGACAGAGAGAGATCACAAGTAGGCAGAAAGGCAGGCAGAGAGAGGAGGAAGCAGGCTCCCCGCAGAGCAGAGAGCCCAATGTGGGGCTCGATCCCAGGACCCTGGGATCATGACCTGAGCCGAAGGCAGAGGCTTTAACCCACTGAGCCACCCAGGCGCCCCTTGTTTTTATTTTAATCACTTGGTGCTCATCATGTCAAATGCACTCCTTAATCCCCATTACCTGTTTCACCCATCCCCCTCACCTCCCCTTTAGGAACCATCAATTTGTCCTTAGAAGTTAAGATTCTGTTTCTTGCATTGACTTTCTCTTTTTCCCTTTGCTCATTTGTTTTGTTTCTTAAATTCCACATATGAGTGAAATCATATAGTATTTATCTTTCTCTGACTTATTTCACTTACCATTGTACTCTCTGGTTCCATTCGCGTTGTTGCAAATGGCAAGATTTCATTTTTTATGGCTGAGTAATATTCCATTGTATGTATATACCACGTCTTCTTTACCCATCCATCTATGAAGGGATACTTGTGCTGCTTCCATAATTTGACTATTGTAGATAATGCTGCTATAAACATCAGAGTGTATGTATCCCTTTGAATTGGTGCACTTGCTGGGTCATAGGGTAGTTCTATTTTTAACTTTTTGAGGAACCTCCTTTCTGTTTTCCAGAGTGGCTGCACCAGTTTGCATTCCTACCCACAGTGCAAGAGGGTTCCTCTTTTTCCACATCCTCACTAATACCTATCATTTCTTGTGTTTTTTATTTTAGCCATTCTTT